ATATTTACTCATCCTCAGGGCTCACAGCCCAGGACTGGAACAGAAAGTATTTTTCCCCATTTTGCAGTTGAAGAGGCCGAAGCTCAGAAAGGCCAGGGGTCCCTGCCATCCAGGTTCCGGGGTCTGATACTTCTTTGGGAGCTGTTAAATAAATGAATGCATGAACGATGAACACTGCCCCCCATCAGCCCCTCTTTCTTTGGGGGAGGTGTGGTAGACCTCATTCTCCAGCTCCCCAGGTTGGACTGTTGCCTGGTTAATTTCAGAATTCCACACACATTTGTCCAGCAGAGTGGTCATAGTGCAGTCATTAGGAGCAAGGACTGTAACCCGGTGGCCTGGGTTCAAACCCTGGCTGTGTCTTCTCTTAGCTGTGTGACCTTGAGATAGTTACTTAACCTCTCGGAGCCTCAGTTTCACCATCTGTATAATGAGGGGGGCGGTGATAATAGAATAATAGAAAAAAAATAGCATCTGTCTTAGAAGATAGACTGAAAAGCACTCTGGAGTCATACTGAGCACTGAAGAACTGCTGGCTAGATAAGAAGACCCTCTACATTTATAAGTGTTATATAAATAAACCTACACTTTTAAGTGTTAAATAAATAAACCTGTATGATGTACTAGGCACTGGAGATATGTAGAGAAAAAGACACCTACATTTACAGAGGGCTCATTATCTCATTCATTATTATCCAGCCCTGTGGGGCAGAGGTTCTCACCATCCCCCCCACCTTTTTTTTTTTTTTTTTTGCAGTACGGGCCTCTCACTGTTGTGGCCTCTCCCGTTGCGGAGCACAGGCTCCGGACGCACAGGCTTAGCGGCCATGGCTCACGGGCCCAGCCACTCCGCGGCACGTGGGATCCTCCCAGACCAGGGCACAAACCCGCGTCCCCTGCATCGGCAGGCGGACTCTCAACCACTGCGCCACCGGGGAAGCCCACCATCCCCTTTTTATAGTTGCAGCGCAAAGCTCAGAAAGGCTAAGTTACTTGCCTAAATCCACCTAGTTGTGCTTGCACTCGAGGTCTATCGAGAGGTATGTTTACCTCTTAGTCCCTACCCTCAAGGGGCTTCCACTCTGATGGGAAAACAAACATTAGACAAAGTACATTAAGAATAAATTGCACATCAGACGACTGCTGTGAAGGAATTTGGTGAAGGGCAGAGGAGGGACATGGGGAACATAAATGCCAACTGGCTGGGTTGCAGGAAGGGTTTTAAGAAGGAGGCAGTAAGTCTGAAGCGTGAACAGAGTACCTTTCCAAGGTGAGACTTACTGGTGGTGAGAGGGACTCTCAGGAATAAAAGATTGGAGGCTGAGAGCCAGGCCCGTGCATCCTCGAACTCTAGGGGTGCATTGTTTAGTGCGGTGCCCTGTGGAGCTGCACACCCAGAGGCCTCGGAGACAGCTTGCTGGAAAAAAGGACCACCCTCCTAGGGTGGGGGCATTCGTGTACACAGACACACAGAGCACACAGGGATTGCCATATGGTATTGCCAGCTTCCTGCGTGTGTGCGTGTGTGTCTGAAAAATCGTGCTCTCATCCATTCCTTTTAGGGAATGGGAGGGTGGGACGAATTGGGAGATTAGGATTGGCCTGTATACACTACGATGTGTAAAATAGATAGCTAGTGGGAACCTGCTATATAGCACAGAGAGCCCAGCTCGGTGCTCTGTGATGACCTAGATGGGTGGGAAGGGCTGGGGGTAGGGTGGGAGGGAGATCCAAGAGGGAGGGGATATATGTATATATATAGTAGCTGATTCACTTCATTGTACAGCAGAAACTAACACAACATTCTAAAGCAATTATACTCCAATTTAAAAAAGATAAAAAAATACAAATCATTTCCCTGGAACTCAGTGCCCAGACCTTTTGACCACTAATGTAGGGGTAACAGCGGTGCCTGAGCCCTGGATAGGTTAGGATTCCACCCACCCAGGTACCCTGCCCCAGGTCCCACACACCAGTGAGGGAGGGAGGGAGGGAGGGAGAGAGAGCCCGGTACATAGTAGGCACTCAATAACATTTTGTTGAATGAATGAGGAACACTCCCCTCAGCCTCTGTTTCTCTGTGGGAGTGGTAGGCTTCACTCTCCAAATCTCCGGGTTGGAATGTTGCCTGGGATAGAAGACAAAACAAAACGATACATTTTGGTTAGAGGAGAAAGACACTGACTTATTTCTCAGCAATTTTGACAGTTAAAAACTTACTTCCTTGGCTTAGGGAACCCCGAGGGTATTATTAGGATCGTGTTATGCCATGGCCTAGAAAATGATAGAGCATTTGGGGTATGATATGAAAATGATAGAGCATTTGGGGGAAGTTTCTGGGACAGTCATGTCTGTACCTCCAGAACTAGCGAGGGACACCGCCAAGGAGGCTGGGGCCCTCAGTGGTGTCCTCGCTACCCCAAGGGAAGCTCCTGAGGGTTAAACACTGGGATAGGGTGCAACTCCACAGAACTTCCTTGGATCCTCACTGCCACGCTGAGTGGGAGGGAGGCCTTGATCCTATTTTACCGATGAGGAAAGTAGGTTCAGAAATGTGTCCCTGCCTCGTGGGGGCCTCAGACCACCCAGAGCCTGAGACTCCTCTGAGAGTGGGGAGCCTGGACCAGAAATATCCTGAGGCCTCTCTGGGCCTGAGGATGGGCTGTTTATACCCTGTGCTGTGCTGGCCCGGGAGGTACAGCGAATGGGTCTGGTGGGGGCTCTGAGTGACCAGGTTCTGTCTGCCTCAAGCCTGGCTTCTTTCCTTGGAGAGACAGAGCCAAGGAAAACCAGTAACAGGCCCAGCGACACCTGTTTGGGGACAGAAGCCCAGAGACTCTGAGATGGGCGGAAGGAGGGAGTAGCAGCAAGAGTAAGGGAGAGGTGGGACTTCCCTGGTGGTCCAGTGGCTAAGATTCCGCGATCCCAGTGCAGCAGGCTCGGGTTCGATCCCTGGTCAGGGAACTAGATCCCACGTGCCGCAAGTAAGAGTGCGCATGCCACAACTAAAGATCCCGCCTGCCAGCAAAGAAGATCCCGCACGCCACAGCTAAGACCCGGTGCAGCCAAATAAATAAATAAATATTTTTTAA